ATCCATATGATAGATAATAAATAATAGCTGCTACATGAGAACAGCATCCCACTGTACGTTTGCCATTGGGGCAATCACAGCAATAACGAAGAATACTATTGTAGTCATTACCTTCGGAAATATAGTGAATGTAAATTCGATAGACTTTTCTATTTATATGTCTTGATTTTACTTCTGCTTTGATGATATTAGGTGCTGATTTCACATATTGTACTGAGAGATTATTTTGATCGTCCATTATTTCGGCCAAGTTAAATGCTGCACATTTAGAAGTAGAAGCTTTTTTGTTAATATATGGGATAAGTCGACACTTCTTACAAAAAATATCATTAACTATTACGATTTTATTCAAACAGTCACTAAACACTTTAGCTTCTTCTTCATTCTTTATAATTTTTTTATAACCTCCTGGTTATCTTGGTTATCCTGGTCTCCTGGAATCTTACACAGGTACTTGTTACAATTTTTACACTTTCTCGACATTATTACTTAATAATGATTTGGTTCGATAGTTAATAATTTCAAAATGCTGATACAAAATACCTATGACAGAATTTGAGTCCCAAACTGCCTTCTTGTGTAATACAAATGACTGCTACTTTAGCTAAACAAACGATGCAGTAAACAGCTCGATAACAAGTTCGAACTTGTTTGTTTATACACTCACACTACAAGGCGCGAATCACATATAATTTTTTTTCGTTGTGTTGCACCAACTTTTTTTTCACGCAATTTTTATGGGTGATAGAGCACACAAAGGAGCATAACATATATTAATTTCGTGATTGTAAGTCACAGAGAACTCAGAAAAAAAAACATGATATTTTTTATTTTTATTTTTTTAATGTAATTTTTTATTCTAAAAATTATAAAAAAATATATGTGATATACTCTGTAATGTAACCTAACACCTCGCGTTAGTTTCACTTCTTTATCTTAATTAGCTTCAGAGATATATCACATTCAGTAATAGTCAAGCATACGGATATTTTGCTCTCTATCTCAAGGTCAAAGCGGAAGTCGGTCGCGAAAAGTACATAAATCGTGTTTGAACATCAAGTCTATATTAAAACATAAGTTTCAATATCGATTCCCATTTGGGGGCCGACTCGTCATACGTATCCGGCTAAACCCTTTAGATATCAATACAAATAAGAAAAATGTATTTTGGTCTTTGATTATACAATAACTCATATACAAATGGAATATGAGTTGTTTATTGAGTTTTGAAAACTAATTAATTTTTATACATGAAAGAAAACTGGAAGGGCTGTCATGGAGAAATCAAGAAACTGCCATAGTGACACCTGGTTTTATTTTGTGAACTAAATTTTTAAATACTTCTTCAATACTACTCTTTCACTTCTTCATTCAAAGAGTATAGGTATTTGTAATAAATTAACATAGACATAAAAGAAGAGAAGCGGCCATACCTACGAAAAAAGCGTATATGCCTAAACTTCAAATGCAAATTCTTCGATGGCGGATTGTCATAGGGCGCGACCCAAGATATCGATATTTGTATCGACATTGAAGTCATATTAAATAAAAGTTAGTATTTCGTGAAACTGCTACAATACTACTACTTATTAAATAATATAATATAATTTTCATTGTTAGGGGCATGGCTAAACTATTACCTATTACACTTCTATTCATTTCACACTTACGTACCAATCCTATTTATGATTATTATTAATTAAATTGAAAAATTCACGCCAGTATCAAGAAAATAATATTTTTTTAAAAGTGGCGTGAATTTATCAATTATTTATAAATCATTAAGCAATCTTTTGCTCGTATTTTGTTGGACATCTAAAATTTCTTGCGTTCTTTGTTCTTGCGACTCCGTTGCGTCACTATAGTAAATATAACATATGTTACCAGCGTATGATGGCGCTTCCCACGGGTAAAAGATTATTCGTATTCCAAATTTCATCAAAATCCGTTCAGTAGTTTTTACATGAGAGTAACCAACATCCATCCTCACAAACTTTCACATTTATATTATTTAATAATATAATTTTATAATATGATTGTACCTCGATAAATATGTTTCTTTTTCCTCTAATATAGCCAATTTTACATAGTTTTAAGAACTATAGTACCAAAATATATATCTTAAAAGTTTTACAATAATATCAATCGTGTTTTATAATTATTTCCATATATATTGTCAAGTTGACATTTTGCAATTATAATTAAATAGTTTTTTTAACATAAGTTTAATTTTGCATCCACGGGAAGTGTGACTACTGTCCAAGATAACTACCACGGTAACTATAATAAGCTTTTAATGAGTCGATTGACGAATGAATTATTATGCTTTTTTTTGTCTGTTATATATTTTTTATTGTTTTGGTGGAAAGTGACATTTTGGTCCAATGAAGTCATTTTTTATTTTTCAGTACGAAATTAAACAGGGTGCAAAAGCAGCCCTTGCAGTTTCTTACCGGTTCCTTTCTTACAGTTTCTTCTTTTCTCGGTACAAGGTTTCCCGTAATAGATTGCTGAACTATAAGCACAGAGTTTCGACTTTCTTATATGCTTGTAACTAGTAAGCCAACTTGTCTATAAATTTATTCAATAAATTGTTTTGACTGAATAAATTTCGCTTCCTCCTCATTAAGTGAGATACCGTGCGTACTGTGTCACAATTTTAGTTCAGAACATCTTGTTTAGTAGTAAACATAGAAAACTTGAAACACCTACATAATCTTTGTATTATATTATTGGTAAAAGAACATAAAAATACTGTAAACTTTGATGAATAAACAAGAGAAAATAAAGAAAACAAAGTTGGTGATGAATAAGTAACAATTGGCATAACAGTAACATTATTAAAGAAGTAACAATTGGCATTTTATTTAAAAATTTGGTTAGCAAGAAGAAAACAGCCGATTAATCAATAGGCAAGCATACAAATATTTTCTCAGCACTAAAACAGTCTGCAATTCATGTTCTGTGAACAATCATGATAACGGTCAGCAATTTAAATTCAAAAAGGTAGCGTATTTTATGATGCATCAGCAAAATAAACATCCACGCCGCAAAATAATTATTTGGGTATTAAGATTATACTATTGAACAGCAAAGAAAACCTTTAACTATGCCTTTAATTTGATAAGTGTGCATATTTTAATTTTTATTAAAATTATTTAACTCATTTTATTGTATATTTTACTGGGAGTATATTATGATCAGAATTTTATATTTTAATATTATTATATATTGCATTCTGATTTTTTTCAATTAAAATAGTCGTCATATGACCGCAAGACTAAAAATAAGGTACATTTATAGAATAACAAAATGACTAAATAAAAAACTAAATAAATAAATCAGTAAAATCAAATGAAAATTAACTAAGTGTAATAGACATTTTTTTTTAAATAAGTTAAAAGCAATTGTCAAAAATTCTTACCAGAGTATTTGATTGGCAATGCATCATCTCGTAATTTTATTATATTTAAAGTTCGATTCAAACAACTTTCCCTAAAATGAAGTGAGCAGATAAAAGTAACTTTTTCATTACATTTAATATTTTCTGCTTCTATGTAACTCGGCCGTTTTCCTCTTTTGTTTCATCTTTTGGTAATCTAAAATTATTAATATATTTTTAAATATTAAAATTATCGATATAAACCATATGTTAAAGTAACAACACTAGCCATGTAAACAATATTATTTACGGACCGAAATATTATAAAAATATAAACGAAAAGAGCAATAAAGCATAAAAAGAACATGCCAAAATACAATATGTATCGATTTATACACGCAATCATTTTCAGAATAACTTACTTACGTTTTAAATACTGTTATTCCAAGAAAGTGTTTAACTTACCGGTGAAACGTAATATTGCTCGGTTTGCGGGATATTGATGACGCACAAACAATTATACAGCACCTAGGCATTGTTTTGCATAAATAATTTACAATTTTCTGCCATGAAAGTTATAAATAAAAATAACCACAAAACTTATAACACTGACAGCTGAACTACTTCCGAGAATACGCACAGCAAATTTGCAAATGGCTGACAGGTGGTACGAGAGCTATATCTCATGACGTCACGTAAAAAATTTTGAACTGTCACACTAGTGTTATCTTTGTTTAATAAAGAAACTTCTTATTAGTTAAAAAAAGACAACATGATGTTTTTGATGTCAACTTCAGATTGCATGATATTTATATAACCATAGAAAATATTTCCACTCTACCTTACTCTATGTAAATTAAAGTCTAGCCCAATTAGGGACGTGCATATGAAAAAAATCGATTGATATTTGAGAGTATTATCGATAAAGACAATACCGATCGATTGATGTATCATCATAGACTCATTGTACCACATATAAAATTAATTCTATATTTCAATTTAATATACAAATGAATAACAACTATTTTATTTATAGGATATTTTCAACTATATTTCTTTCTTATGTCAGTTAAATTTTATATTCACAATTCTGTATTGATATTTATCTTCAAGCAATAGCTAAGCACTCGGGACTTTGAAAAGCATTTATCTTGAAGGTAAAAATCTTTCTGTTATGTGGTCACTAAAAAAATTACTTTTGGAACTGCCTAATCGACTCCTTTTTAAAATCTGTTTAGGCTAGCCATTTTATTGATTTGGATCGTTCAACAAGACTACTGACTTAAAAACCGCCAAAACGATCATTTCGAGGTACGTGCGTTTTCTTCATACGAGCTCCCACTCCTTAAAAATAAGCTAAGCTAAGCTAAGCTGTTTTATTTTAAATAAAATCATAAAAAATACGATTTAAATATTCTTCTGTTATTTGACTAACAGATTAAATTTTTAATCAGGCATCATCGTAACTATCTATATTAATATTTTTAATTATTAATATTATTTATTGGTAAATATCGATAACATCTCCATATCGATTATTTTTAGGCCAAGCCTAAAGTGAATAAAAAAGCAAGTGATAGAGTAAACGCAAATTATAATACTACTCTTTGAGTAAGTGTGTGTGATTGTTGAGGGCGGGTTTGGATTTCAGCTATGCGTTACTTTAATTTTTAATAATTGTGATAGCAATAATATTATTATTTTTTATATCAGTTTTTAGCTTTTAGTTTAACATTTTTGTCTGTGATAATTTCTTTTAGTAATATTAGCTAAAATTAAGGTAAGTTGATTATTGTATTAAATTTTTTATTTCAAGTATTTGTTTCTGCAAGCATACTACATTTCAAATAATTAAATTAGAACAAATATAAATAAATTGCTCTTGTTTGCACTTGCAAGTTATGCTGGTAAACCAATATTAAATTAACGACTCATGATTATTAGAAAAAATATAATCTTTAATTATACATTTCGCGTCATTGCTTCCTTTTGGATTCTTGAAAACAACCAATTTTTTATCGAATTTGTCACAGTAAGACTGATGGTAATGCTTTATTACCAATTTCTCAGAAGTGGTTCTTCTTGGTCTGAGAGTAGCATATTATAGTGTCTAGACTGATTTTTTTTATAGAATTTTAACCATTTAATGTACATTGAAATAAATATAAATAGTAAGTCAAAGTAACATGAATACGGTTAAAGCTTATGATGTAGTTAGATTACTCATCAGGAATTCATATAATATTATCATTACATTAATAGGTCAATCAAAGACCAAAATATATTTATTTATATTTTAAGTGTAAAGCTTTACATAAAGTAAATTAAAAGAATCTTGGTACATAATGACAATTGTATGTGACATTATTTATACAGAAATTTCTATCAATGTCTGGCAGAGAAGTAGAGTTGGGTTATACTAGGTAAATTTGATACTAGTTGAATCTATTCCTAGTATTATATAATACTCGATTCAAATACCTAATCCACCAACTTTCTTTTTAAGTTATTGCATTTGCTCTAACCATAAAAACTTTTCTCTATTGTATTAAAATTGAATATTATGATATGGAGAAAAAATGTATGTGGGAATGACACATACATACAAATATGGTCTGTCATTCTGTCTGATGATATGTGAAGCATCATCTGTCAGATCCCTTAGGCTTCCTTTACTGAGCTCTCAGATGTTTCTATACTGTTATAACATTTTTAATTAAAAATACTTTGTCACTGGTACTCTGAGAAGGGATTCAAACCCATGACCTTTCTGGGCGACTGCTATAGCCACTGAGCTACCCAGGACCTGTGAAGTATTTTTCAAGCACTTGTTACTTACTCACTACTTCAGAACAGTTGCACGTGTAGCATGACAAACTCGAGATACGCTTTGTCTAAACCCAAATGTCACTTTCTCGGGTCGAGAGTGAGATGTTGTATGAGTGCACCCGAGAAAAGTGAAATTTGTGTGTAGACAAAACGTTCTTGAGTTCGTCATGCTAGCCGTGCTGAAAGAAATATGTTTCTACATATTTAAAACTTTCAATAAAAATGAAAAATTGTTCTAATTATCATATTTGATCAATTTTGCATTCACAAATGCTATACTGGAAAATATTCGTAATAAAAAAATCCACTTTTACAATGGTACTCTGATACTCACATACTGAGCGACTTCTTTAACTAAGCACTGAGCTACCAAGGACCTAACAGGATTTTTGAATTCTTCAAGCACTTCTTACTCTTTTGCTATTGCAGAGTGTATTTTCATCAATATTTTTCAGGTATTTAATTAAGAGGTTTCATACAATGTGTATGAACTGATTTCCATACTAACTGTATCAAAATTATGCTCACTTTCATTTATTTCAACCAGTTTAAAATTAAATATTCATTGTCAGTCACAATGTCAATTCATTGGGTTGAAAACAATTTTTGGGACAAAATGGATTTTATAAGCATTTTTCATTAAGGATATTTTTCAGTATAGTATTGTGAATGTGAAATTTGTCAAATATAGTAATATATTGATTAAGAACACAGAATATTTTAGTTTGTTCTTTGCTGTCAGTTTATTACTGCAAATTTTATGGCTGTTTCTTTTTGTAAATTCTCTGGTATAAGCCTCATATAGATTTTAAGACACAGGCTAATTTACAGTTTGTTTCTCCTTAACTTGTAGATAACAGTTCACACTCTGTATAATATATAATACATAATCTTTGCAATGTAATTAAGTATAATTTATTTTATTTTATCAGTAATTGGCAAACACATTGAAATTAAAAGTTTTGTAACTTATTTTAAATATTGTGAAAGTTTTATGTGTTTTGCCGTTGGTGTTCTTATTATAAATAAATAATAGCCCGATTACATTCAGATTATTAAAAACTTGCAGATTATTCAATACAAAACCAAAGTTACTAAAACAACCCTTTGTGAGTAAAATGTTCATTGTAAGTCAGTTACTGAATAACAAGCCTAGATCTGTCTGTGATATATAGTATGATGAATAATATACGATATATGAATGTTGCCTAAAGAAAGTTTTCATTAAACACTACACACACACTACAGAGCATCAATTTCTTGTATAAGATTACAATTGGCGTAGTCAATATTCGTTTACAGATACAGAAAATTTTAACTTTATCATTGATCATTGTCGAGAACAACATGGGTCCTAGAATGGATCCCTTTGTCACACCTTACATAATATCGATCTGTCTACCACAATTCATGTCACTGGTGAGGTATTCAAATAGTGTCAGCATATTAGTATAAATACCGGTAATACTGGGATTGAGATTTTATGTTTGGTATCAAGACCGGTATTGAAAAAAATCCAGTATTTGTAAGCCGTCCTTAGGAATTTTATGGGAATCTGTAGTTTAATAATGATGAATTCATTGTTTTCCTTAATAAATTCAAAATTATGTATTCGCATATCATTGTGAATGTCTTTCATACAATGTCTTTCATTTTATATTTTAAACTAACCATCCAAAAGAGATCACGATGTTTAAAATAGATTTATTTACATTGCACAATTGCTTTCGGATCACCGATTTATTTAATGTGCCATTGAAATTGTAGTTCCCAAGAAAGTTTTTAGACCCGCGATCATACGGTGCGGGTTTTTCCTTTTAAAGTCGAGAATCTTAAAAACTGTGTTTATCAAAACCTCATAGGCGATTAAGAGCATGGGTGGCCTAGAGGATTGTGGTATTGAATTCGGCATGGTGGACCTACATTTTAAATTTATTTCGTTTAAAAAATTTTAGCTATAAATTTATATTAATATTTTCTTGTTTCAGAATGCTAAGGGGAAGGGTGAAGCATTTATTGCATTGCATTTCGTTTCTGTCTTTCATATTTATGTTCCTGGTTTTTGCTGGCGCTATAAATTTGGACGATAAAACGAAAGATATCGTTGATCCATGGGAAACATATGGAACGTATGGCACAATAATTTTATACATTCTGAGACTGTTAACATTACTTACAATACCACAGGTTGTGTGCAATTTTGCTGGTTTAATATTTTTTAATGCCTTTCCTGGAAAGGTAAAGCTAAAAGGATCACCTTTACTTGCACCTTTTATCTGTATCAGAGTTGTCACAAGAGGTGACTTTCCGAAACTTGTAAGAGATAATGTCACAAGAAATATGAATTTGTGCATCGATGTTGGAATGGAGAACTTCATGATAGAAGTAGTTACTGATAAAGCAATAAATCTACCAAAACATAGAAGAGTTAGAGAAGTTGTTGTGCCCTCAGAATATCAAACAAAAACTGGTGCACTTTTTAAGTCACGTGCATTACAGTATTGCTTGGAAGACAATGTCAATATATTAACTGAGACCGATTGGATTGTGCATTTAGATGAGGAAACACTGCTTACCGAAAATTCTATACGTGGTATTTTGAATTTCGTGTTAGACGGCCAACATCAGTTTGGGCAGGGATTAATAACATATGCTAATGAGAAAATAATAAATTGGATGACAACATTAGCGGACAGTTTTCGTGTTGCTGACGACATGGGAAAGTTGAGATTTCAGTTCTATCTATTTCACAAACCATTGTTCAGTTGGAAAGGTTCTTATGTTGTCACACAGGTAAATATTTGATTTGATGGTGAGCTCCATGAATGTCACTACGCTATAAATACGCTATCAAGTTTTGATAAATTTAAAATTACGTTAAAAATGATATATTTTTATTTTTGCTGGCTGGACTCGACGAATTTGAACGCGAAATTCATTAATAATATTGATTTCTTATATTTTCATGCGGACTATTCCTAAATAAAACCACTTTTGTTCATTCATTAATAATTTTTAATATAAACATATTTCTATCTTAATCGAAAGTTTAACAAAATATTTGTGTCTTTCGTATGTTTAGGTAGATTACTTAACATGGATGGAAATAAATTCAAGCGCAGCTAAATGCGTCAGTTTCATAATCGTTTAGTGTCTAGTAGCTCATTGGAAAGTTTACTCGCTTCGTTAGCGAGAGTTTCTTGGATCGATTCAGCCTCGGACTTGAGACATATATTGAAATATTTTTATGTGCTAACAAATAATAAGTTATAAAGAGTACAAATTGTAAAAAATAAAATGAGTCTCAAATTCTATAAAAATAATATGTATGTTGTTTTAGATGAATGCAGAAAAAAAGGTTTCATTCGATAACGGTCTTGACGGTTCTGTTGCTGAAGACTGTTATTTTGCAATGAAGGCATATAAAGAAGGGTATACATTTAATTTTGTAGAAGGAGAGATGTGGGAAAAATCTCCCTTCACATTGTGGGATTTCATACAACAGAGGAAAAGATGGATCCAAGGTATTCTTCTAGTTGTACATTCAAAAGATATACCAATATTTAATAAAGTTTTTCTAGCAATATCATGTTATTCTTGGGTAACATTGCCATTGTCAACAAGCAATGTTTTCTTAGCTGCAATATGTCCCATACCTTGTCCTCATATTTTAGATTTGGTATGTGGATTTATTGGTGCTGTTAATATTTACATGTACATTTTCGGTGTTGTAAAGTCATTCCCTATTCATAGATTTGGGCCTTTAAAATTTTGCTTGTTCATTGGAGGGGCATTAGCAACTATTGCATTTAATATTGTGATTGAAAATATAGCTGTTGTTTGGGGAGTATTAGGCAAGAAACATAAATTTTACATTGTTAATAAGGAAGTTAAGATACCGGTAACGGTATAAGTGGAGCCCTTGAGAATATTTCTGTTATTTTAAGTGCACAAATACTTAAAGAATTACTCTTGCACTCATTCAGCAGTAAGTATATATAGTGATTGTATAACTCGGTTATATGTGATTGTTATAGTATATGTAAGGTTTTCTAAATTTACAAGTGATTAAATCTTGTTAGCCTTTGTTACCAAAGTTTGAAGTTAAGAAGATACTAAATTGTTTTCAAAGTATTAAATTATTTTTTTCATTTCTAGATTTAGGACTATTCTGAGAACTGTTGAAAAATAATAAACAGTGTTCTGAAATTTATTTTTAGATGTTTTTATGAGTCGGTTATTATTTTATTTGTTTACGTGATAAATAGTAGATATATTCAATACTTAAATTAGGCCAGTGCCATTCTCATTTTTTTACTTTCTTGTAACAGTTATTTAATCATTTTTACGTATTATTGCCTTGTATTTATATAGTCAATTTGGATTGGAAGATAAGCAAAAGGATTGGTACTGCATATTTAAAAAACTACGACAGTAGTTTGGGTGTCAAATTTTGTGCCTGCAATTAAGGCGTATTGGTCGCGCGACTGAAGCGCTTCTGGCGTGCGGCTGTCCATTATCCATACATAATTACACGCATTTGTCAGTTAAAGATCAACAATTGATTCGTCATAACGATTAACAATTAATAAACTGTAATTGTGAAAAGATCCTTAATTTATTATTGTTTATTTATGTAGTAGGAAATAATAAAATTTCATTTTTGTTTTCATTCCAATAAAAAATTTGAACTATGGATTTTGGATATAATAATGAAAAAAATAACAATTTCTTTACATATAGGTGTGAATTATTAGATACAATAATTAAAATAGTCAATTGCAGTTATTTTAATTGTTATGTTAAAGTAATCGATTAAGTTCAACATAGTTGTCAATATTTGTTTCGCAACCAAGTAGTCAAATCAGCCGTCCAATTGAACGGCTAGCTCTTTAATTGCATGGCACAGCTGGGCTGACCTTCGATCAGCCGAGTAGCTGAACGAATCGTTCTATTTTAAATAAAACTCCAAAACTCCTTGTTATGATCTGTAGGTAATCAATATAGATACAGGGCTAACTAAAAACTAAATTTGTTTGATAACTAAACTTCAATTAAATGGCTAGCCGCCCAATTGAACCGCTGATTTAACTATTGCACATACTTCTATCACGCCGTGCGATTTAGAAGCATTACAGTAGCGTGACAATAAGAAAACGAATATAATTGAAAGAGCTTTCAATATTTTCCCTATAAATTTAGTCGGTATTGAACTTTCTCATTTATGTATTAAATATTCGTAATTAGAAACATAAATATCAATAATGTTAGATTATCTATATCGTTGAAAGTTGACTACTAGTTATAAAGCACTCAATGAAAATGGGAAATTTTAATTCAATTTATTAACGATATGCTTGATAAACTCTATTTCAAATATACTCGTATAACTTTCTTTTCGATATTCCCAAGTATGTGTGAACTTTTGTTCAGTCATTCTTATTGCGAATTTAACAGCTGTATTGGTGTCAATTCTTTTTTACAAATCTCTTAGCTGAACTTAACAAAAAATAACAGTTATATTCGGGTTTCATTTGATCAAAGAAATATAAGTCCTCCTGTAGACTATATCATAAAATTACCTTTTTAGTATTGGAAAAAGCAGTTTGATTGGATTAAAACTATAATTAGTCTAGTTTGTACAACAGAATTTTATGTTATGTTAAAATAAATACTTAAAAGACAAAAATTAAAATAGTATTTGTGATTGGAAAAATAGCGTTTTTTAAGATTAAGAGGCTAAGGATATTTTGAATTATTATATTATTTATTAAATTATTCATGCACAATAGCACATAGGCGGACTTAATGTCCGAGGTATTCTCTATAGGTCAACTAATCGTGTGTTCTAAAATCTGTCATTTAATTTATAATACAATATCTTCTCTTAGTTTGGCAGATAATGACTCCTTGGCACTGTCTAATGGGGTTTCAATCCGTTTATTTAAACTCTTGTGCAATGTGCATAATATATTTTTATACTCGTTCATTAGCTTATTCAGTATTATGATTTCATACACTACAGAGTACTTAAATATTTTAAAACATAATTTAAATAGCTTGAAACAATTCTGCGTTGACAATAATACATACGTAGTTCACAAGATACAATAAATTCAGTGGCGTAGCTTACCCTTAACGAAGCCTTTATTAAATTCTATTATTTGACCAAGTTTAAGTAAAAACTTCATACTTTAAGTGCCTACCGTTTAATCTTATTGCAGATATCATTTTTATAAATCGTTGCTCACCGTAGTGCGAGTGCGTGTCAGTGTCCCTGAATACAGGGACACTCACACTACGGTGCCTCATAATCATTGATAATAGGCGGCAGCAAAATTGTATTTGTACGATTAAGATACAACAAAAAAGTTTGAATATTCTTCGTAATATAAATTTTAAGTTCTGATATTTTAAAAAATATGGTCCAAAAAAAGTAATAATTTTGCAATATTACGATTGAGATTCGTAAGTTTATATAGCTACCATATCTGACTAGTCATGTAATGTATCCTGGCGTGGTTATAAACTAGTGTAATTAGACAAAGACCTCCTTCATTAAGAGTTGGGTTTCGTAGTATATTTTCGTGACGCCAGACGTATGGGTCATTTACATTTGTTGACCTTTGGTCGTTATGAACTATTCTTATGTTGTTCATAGTTCCATGTACCTTTCGTGTAGTGTGTATTAACTAACGTTGTTACTTTGGTGACTTCGTGATTGTGAAATTGTCTCAAAATGTCTCTTATTTGTTTCATTTGTAATAATTTTAGTTTTAAATGTTCTAAAAATGTTATGAACATTTGCGTTCTTGAGTACCTTGAACTTATGTTAACTATACGTATCTTACACGTTATTTATAGTTCATTTGGGTCAAACACGTCAAACAAGTACCAAATGGTTGTTTGTTATCTTTTGAATTTTAATTTATTTTTCATTTTTTGTATTGTAATGTCTATAGTGTCTAGAAATGTATGCATGTGTTGTGTGTTCAGTCTTACCGTGTAAGGCTTGCACCGATCGAACTAAATTTTGTAATAACTATAAACCTAATTATACCCATAAAATCGTTCACTCATTGAAAAGTATCGATCATGTATATTCAAAAATTAGTACAAGAACAATAATAGTTGTTGTGAAATTTTGTATCGATTAGTGCATAATTTAAATCAAACGTTCGCAATATGAACAAGTAATTTATACTATGTAGTTATAAATAAAGTGAATTAAGCATTTGAAATAATTTCTTTTGTTTCTTTTCTATCGTTAGACTGGGTTGGGTGGTATGCGGATGTCTTGATTTTTAGCGTATGATAATAACTACCATTTTTGTATAGAATCATTATCCTAAGTAAACACTGTATGACGGTGCGTGCACTGAATCATCGACCGCGTAGCTTTTATTTTAGATGATCTACTACATAGGTACAATTAAATTGAACGAATTTAAAATTAATTTCTGCATTTAAATTCCACACTAGTTAAAAATAAAAATATGTTACAAAATTAATAAATAATAAAGTGAAAAGCTAACTGGAACTGTTGACTTACGTATATTATTAATAATGAACCGTTAACAAACTGATTATTTACATAGGCGCCCGCCGTCGTGACTGTAATTAGGGTAGATAAGCCTGCTTTCGTGCAATTTTCAACTTTGAGCATAAAAATATGAATGTTCCGCCAAGTAGTTTGTCCTCAAAAATAGTGGTAAGTCCAAATATAGTCTATTTTTAATTATTGTATAGTTTTTAATAGATTAATAGTTTTTTTATATTTAGCGTGGAACTGCCCATTTACTGGATGATTGCGTCCTACAAAGAACATACCCTACAAGGTTTAGGTCTCTATGACTATAATAATAATTATTATTTATTTGCGTTTGAATAAGGTATACAAAAGAGATGTAATAAAATAATATAATTATCGCCTGTACAGCCATTAACAATAGCAAATAATAATAATTTACTTTCGGTTTAGGCTGTGTGTTAATCTGTCATTCTGGACAAAGCATTTTATATTTATAAACAATCAGTACGCTTAGCAAATAAAGAACCAATAAAACGTTAATAGTAAAAATAAGTAGTTTGTTGATTCTTTATATAAATACACCACAGCAAAATCACTTAGTTACTTATAAAAAAAAGTCTTGTTTATCACTGTTTTTGTAAATAATTTTCCTAAATATTCCTAAAGTTTACTTAATTAATCAGGTCTCATAATATTCTCACATGTCGCGTTAATCTATCACTTTTGTAACTTGTGTATTCCACCATTGGTATTCATTTTAAGACGATGATCATACTATTATTCTTAATACAAAATGCTTAAAAAATCCACTAGGTCCCTGGCACTCTGAGATGGGAATCGAACCCACGACCTTTCGCAATCCCACCTCAGGGTGCCAGGGACCTAGTGGATTTTTAAGCATTTTGTATTAAGAATGAATAATTATCAGTATGGCATTGTGAATGCTAAATTAAACAAAAATATATTGATCGTACTATTATTGTCTGCCTATTCAATGAAAACATTGCAAAGCGATTTCCGTGGTAATTCCTCTTTTTATCGGCTCCAAATTCTAATAAACTCTTCAAGTTTTATATAACTTTTAATAAAATAAAAAAACAACGATCGGTATATCATATTCAGTTTATATAAAAAAAAATATTAGACGAAAATTGACCATTGATTAATACTTAATACCTTGATTAATACCTATACACATTATGAAATTTGATTTTAAAAATGTTCCATACATTTCCATACGTTAAATGGTCGCAAATGTGAGGTGGACGGGAAACAGGCGCATCGACCCTACTTACCTATCACGTATCGTAATCTGAATGCTTTCAATTTGATAAATACGTTCATTCGCACTTACCTACTTATAATAACCTATATTAAAACGACTTATTGTAGCGGCAGCAATGCATTCGTTTTTGCCCGACTGCGGCGAAGTGAAAAGGAGGCTTATGATTTTTGTCGGTATGTATGTACGTATGTAAGATCGTCATCTATTCCGCTATAACTTCGAAACTACTCATCGTGACTTGACAAATGGGGTATCATTGAAGCGCCTTAGTTGCCCGCGTGCTATAGGCTAAGTGACATTACATTAAATTGGCCACAGCGCCCTCTAGACAGCATAAAGTAAGAAACTAAAAAACATTATTAAGGCATTCCGTGTCAATTATCAAATGAAAGGGCTTAATTAGCACATTTCAAATATATATATATTCAAAGCTTTTGCTTAAATACACCCTAATAACACACCAATATACACTTAAATACAAATAAATTGTTCACAGAGCTCTGTGGGCAAGTGGTCATACGAATAGGTAATTTTAAAACATTGGAACTGTTCTCTTATTACGGTGATTACGACTTTAAGCTGTCAGTTGGAGTTGCGAATAGACCTGCTGGAGTTCTTAGAAACACTCTGGCTAAATAAAAACAATGAAATGGCCTGAATAATTCGGCCCGGCCGAATACCCGTTTCGGTAAAGGTTAAACCGAATACTATTCACATTTCGGTGAAACCACTATTTGTGCATACCCATTTTATATTATGCATAATTATGTAGGCACTTTAAAAGCTTATTATATTTTGATTAATTTTGCATTCGTCAGTCCTGTTAGGTCCTGGGTAGCTAAGCGGTTGGAGCAGTCGCCCGGATTGCGAAAGGTCGTGTGTTCGGTTCCCATCTCAGGGTGCTAGGGACCAAGTGATTTTATTTGGCATTTTGTATTAAGAATACTTTACAAGCTTATTTCCACGAAGAGCTCGATCGCGCAGTAATTA